ATTTCTTTGTTTCGCTTGTAATTTGCCAGGGTGCGCGCACGATTATATATTTTCCGTGAGCGCCTTAAGGGGGGACCTTTCGCAGCGGACTCTGAGAATGGCATAAAGGTAACTTAGGATGAGTATCCGCGCTCCGGTTATCGTCAAGGTGTATTGCCGTTTTTCCGCAAAAAGTTCACGCGTCGTCCGAGAGATAGTGCTAGTTTCGGTACACTTCCAAAAACATAACGCTAGCTTGTGGTAATTTCCGAATGCATTGGATAGATAGGCTTTGGGTGCATTTCCTCGACTTTTGTGGTGCCGAATTGTTTCGCGCAGGGTATACCTGCTGAGGACCGCTGGGCAGGGATTACCGCCGGCGGGGCTGGGGAAGGGGCGGGCGGCGCGCGGCGACCTGTCAGTCATACAATAGTACGAGCTCCGGGCCCCAATAGAGTGCACTTGTCTGCAGTCAGATCAACTGCACGGGCCTAACAGCTACCAGAAATATTTGAGATTGAATAAAATTATGTCCGGGATCATATTACTGAGGTTGCGCAGATTCCAATGATATAAGGGTTCACAGCAGTATCATCAAAAGTAGAACTGAACCTCGGCAAGCGCATTCGCCCGATCAGCAATTTAGCCTTTTAGTGCCAGAAGGGGAGGAGGCCCAGATGTGCCAAACACCAAAACGATCAACGCCCTGTACAAAATTAGGTGTTTAAAACGGCGTTCAAAAAGTGTCCATTCTTCCTTCGTTTAAAAGTTAGCAGATTTGTGTATCTTAATCTTTAAAAAAAAAAAAAAACACTCCGTGATCTGTGTTGTTTGATTTACTAATGAATCGGGTTCTGCAAGGTTCACGTATTCCAGAATCAGAAAGCAAATATTGAACAAAAATGCAGGTTTATTACACATTTATCAGTAGCAGAGTGAGAAATAAGAGGACGTAAGTCACTCAATGGGCATAGAATGTCAGACAGAAGAGGCCTGCATGAAAGGCCGGGGATTGACACTACTCAGCCGACTCCCCCCTCCCCCCCCCAATCTCTCTCTCTGTCTCTCTCTCTCTCTCTGTCTCTCTCTCTCTCTCTCTCGCGCGCGCGCGCGCACACACACACATACTTTGTCACTCTCGCTCGTTCGCTAATACACAAATCACCATGTCTAGCCGTCACAACAATTCTTCAAAATGTCCAAACAAGTAAACAACTAAGACTATTACAATATCACAGCACCAGGCACAGCAGAAGACGTAACAAATAGGGAATAACTTAGCAAAAAATACCTATCACACAAATAAATAAATTACTAAGCTAATCTAGAAATAAATAAACTAATAACTGTAATAATATGCTACAAAAAAAGAATAGGAAATAGTTGCAAAAATCACTGATCTTCATCTTCACCTTCACCATCATCAGGTATGTCCTCATCACAGATCTCTTCTATTTCTACTGGTAAGTTGTCCTTCATCCTTGCTGCAAGGACGTACGCTGGCTCGCGCGGAGGTAAGCCCCTCTCCAACCTGCTGTCCGCCAGCTCGGGAAGGAACGCATCATTATAGAAATTCTGCAATTTGGGCAAAATTTCATCATTGAAGAATTTCTCATCTCTGTGAATGCGGAACCTTTCCCAATCTGCGTCACAGTGTAAGATCAAGTCGCACCACTTTCTCTTACTCAGGTTGAGTTGGGACTGAACCTGATAGTACACCTGGCTGTTAGGATTGGGCTCAATCGAGGTGCGACAAGGGACAAGTTTGTACTTCTGCACTGCCCTCCCGCCC